GATTTTTAGATATTTCAGAAAGTAAAAATGTAATTTTTTAGAATTTTTCAGTAACACTGGTTGAAATATATTTGTATTTTTATACTTATCTTTTTTATTTTGTTCTTTGCAGGATGGTACAGATGTGAAAACAAACCCATGAAATTTGTAATCCCACAAATTTGGAGGGAACCACTCAAACAATTACTTCTGCATAGTGGGCCCTTCCAAACGTTGAACTGGTAAGAATGCGCTTGCTATCATATATCCAGACACTCCGTCATCCATCGCCCCAGTGCCACACCACCCTGAGCTCCCATTAACTCCTCCTCGAAAGAGAGAGCATCCGTCTTCAGAAGAGAATAGCAATTCAGAAGAGGATTTATCCAGATTAAAGAGGCTCGGTTGAGTAGAGAAACCCATACTACCCTACACAAAAGACTTCAACAACCTGATCAGAGATCTTTGTCAGACAAGGTCCAGTGCCGAGCCTTTGATCTCGAGGCTTAAGCAAGGGAAAGAGCAATATTTTGAAGCAAAGTATAGCACACTGTTTTGTATTGGGAGGCTAGTGATCGTTTTATGGTTTTCAGAACTTCTTCAATTTGTGGTTTTTCGAATGACCACATGACATCGTTTTGTAGATATAGTAGGGTCATCCCTTCTGAGTAGTCGGACAAAAGATTTGTCATGCCTAAAAATCTCTGTAAATCTTGTTTGAATGTTAATCCTTCACTAGTTAACAAGTGTGCCAGATCTGGAGTTTAATTTTGTTTTAATTTTGTTAAAGATGAATTTTAGTCTTTCTATGTGTTCCACTGTATAGGATTTTGTCTTCGGAGATTTTGGTTCTTTTAATGCCTTCGATAATTGTGGTAATTTCTTTTTTGAGTACTTTCCTTGCACTGTGAGTACTGTAGAGTAACCTGATGAATTGGTATGAAGTTTAGAAAATGAGAGCTTTTTTTCATCCACTAGAATTTGCAAATATCCGTCAGAAGCATCATGTTTTTAAAAAATTATGCATTTTTGCAAACATTACTTCTGTTGTAATAATATAAAATATTCTCTATTTCTTTATTTAAATGTTTGGTATTTAAACAGTGTTGTGCTTTTTTAACAATAATCTAGGAGATAACCCGGTCTGTTTTTTGTTTTTGTTTTTTTTTTAATATTATTCCCGTATCCAACATTCTTTATAGTTTGACTTGTAATTTTTCTTTTAATGCAAAGTGTATTTTCTTCAGGGGTGTATTACAGGATATTTTAACAGTAATGTAGCAATTTCATAAAACAGTTCTTTATACGTCAGGGATTTTGCGGGGTGGGGGATATTTCACACATCTTTGCATCAAGAACATGTTAGGAATTTGTCTGCTACAATAAAATGTACTAAAGTTTCTTTTTTTTTTATCGTTACTGGGCATTTTCCTAATACTAGATTTTTGTATTATTATACGCACTTAGCCTCACTGATGGAATTAAGTATAAGATTTGTATATAATTTCCTGGTCATTACGCTGATTTCTGTATAAGAGTCGATTCTGAATTGTCATAATTCAATGACTTAATTTTGAAGTCTGGCAGTTTAGGATCTGCCTTTTCTACTGCCTGGATCCTATGTGACTCGTGTATATTTATATTAATTTATATTCATAGAAATACTGTGGATGGTATATTGGCACGCAAGCAGATATTGGATGACGGAAGACAACAAACAAAACGAAGACGTAAGTAAAAAAAAAATATGTTGCCAAGTTTATTTTTGTTATAGAAAAATAAACAAAAATAATGTTACAGTACATTAGGCAAAAATAGCTCTGCAAGGTCATGTAGAAGGTGAGAATAGCGCTGTCCTAAGAAGGACAATTTTGGTAGTCGCTGGCGATCGTTGTGCTGAAAAGGACAGTTTATTGAATATCGTTGCTGCTGGTGAGGATAACTGGAGCAGGAAGCCTGTTGGAGCTAGTTGGAGCGGCAGGAGCTGGATGCCTACTGGAGATGGTTATATCTGGTTAGTTGGAACTGCTGCTGATCGCTGGAGCCATGGACTGGCTGTTGGCAGCTGCTGCTGAAACAGATACTACACTTTGATTAGTCATCTGGGCCGCGAAACGGGATGCGACACAAAGCTAGGCTTAACCCGGGGAGCCCAAGCGCGTACAAAAATTGTACGAGTTCAAAAATTGACAAAGTTCTCGAAAATATCGGTTGCGCTGGCTCTAGTGCAATGAGAGGGTGCAAATGTTTCACAGGGTCGGCCACCTCAATGTATTATTTATCTCGGTTGCATCACTGTCCGCGGTTAGAGCCACAACTGAGTTGTACTCTGCCCAAAGATGGACACGAAACTGAAAGCCATTATCAGTATTCTAGTTGTCAGATTGTTAGAAACATGCATATGGTGGCATGAGAGAACAAACGAAACAAGTACCACCGGTGAGGCAAAAAGAAAAGACAAAAATTATTAATATAAAATTCTTTCTATTGCCGATACAGAGGATGTCAACAGAATGTCTTTTTTGTGGGTTTGGGAAGCGAGTTGGTAGGGCCTGATATTGATGTGTGTGTCAGGTCGATTGACCGACGTCATGGTGGGAACATTGAGGGAGGACGGTTGCTCGTTCGCTGTGAATCTGTCAGTCGTTTACGAACGGCGCTCTTAAAAGCAAATGTGGTAGCTCACAAAATCATCTTTTTTCTATTGGTAATAACATTCGTCATTGGCTTTTTTTTATATTTTTTTATATTTTTAAGGTGTTTTGTTTTTGTGGGCGGATGTAATGCTCGGAGCCTTTGAGCAGAGGTCGACTTATTTAATTTTTGGTTTCGCTTTAGCCAACATGTAGAGTGAATCTAATTTGAATAAAAGGATAACGGTATTATTCTGCTCCTATTTCTGTACATGCCTAGCTGGACTTACATTTTCTCTGGTAAGATTTGGTTCTCATAAAAGATGTTTGCCAAACCATGTCTTTAACTCCACATATCAAATAATCTTTCATAATACTATCGGAGATGCTTCCTAATTTACATAGTTTTGCATTGTTGTAGTTTGATTATATATAATGATTGAATTTTTGTATTTCTGTTTGCATTAGAAGAATTTATGTTAAGAAGGTTAGATTTTTTTTCTATGTTTACAGTACAAATTTAAATAGGTATGGTCAATAAGAGGAAAGGCCAAAGTATTTTTTAATCATTTTTAAAAAATATTTTATTCCTTTCTAGCACGCTCGAAATTTTGGTTAAAAATCTTATTTTTAAAAATGCTAAATATTACGCGGTCGCGTAATATTTAGCATTTTTTAGCGCTTCTTTAAGTTGAAAAACACATTAATTTAGAAATTCTTGCAAGAATCAAATAATTATCGGAATTTAAGGAAAATCTCAGAACTTATTCAAAAATGAATTAAATTATTTTATAAGTGTTTGTTTTTTAGAAAGTCATGACAAAAATATTTTTACATCTGTTACCCCTTCCTTACTTAATTTTATGAAAACTCGATTATATGTATTTTTGTGATTTTTTGAATTAAGTGCAGAAGACATCAATTTTTTTGTAAATACAAAACCCAATAAAACTAAGACATTATTTAATTAAAAAAGCTTTTAATGTCTTTTAATGAATAATATATGTTAAGGACATCATTGTCTGAAGCCAAAATAATTTTTAATGAAAAATGAATTTTTACAAAAATGTTTTTTTTTCACTTGGAAATACAAAATGTGATAAAGTTGTTAAATATTTTAAAATTAAGTTTGAATATGTGTATTTCTGGAAATGCTCTCATTAAAAGATCTGTTTTATAGATCTTAAACTTGAAAGATTTGAAGCCTTTCTCTTTTTTAAATATTTTTTAATATGCAATAATGGAATTACAAACGTTTCCGGCAAAACTACGGAGGCACAATTCAGAAATAATGTCACGTGGTTTAATAAATTGCGTTGATTTCGTTCTGGCTAGCACGTATCAAATTCTATGACTGACCATCATCGTCGCATTTTCAAAATTTTTCTCTTTTTTTTTCATATCTCACTAAATATTTTCTTTTCATTTTTTAAAATATAATTTTTTTTTTCCCTTTTCAGTGAGAGACATACTGCAATTATTTTTTTTCTTTTTTAGATTCAGTTTTAGGGGCGGAGACATTGCAGACTTTGGACATATCTTCCTTAAAAAGTACCTACAAAATCAATAAAATATTAAACTTTTGAAAGTATTTAATTTTTAAGAATTACTTTATAGTTAAATAGACTGGTTCATTTAAAATTCGAAAATACTGTCACTTCTGTCCTTCCATCCGATAAATTGCCCTGACGTCAATTCACACCAAAACCAATCACCACGGTTAGACATGCTTCTCTTATTTTCAACTAAATTTCTGCTAAAAAATTAAGTAATGTTTGTTTCCAATTACATTAAGTATACTCTAAATTTTCTAATTTTCCTAAAAAAACTCTTGAAAAAGTATAATTGAATTTTACAAGATTTTTTAATTTCACTTTTGTTTACAAAGTTGTCAAAAATGGCTGACATGATCGATTTTTATGTACATTTAATTATTAAAAAAAAAAAAAAATTTTATCTAAAATTTCCGACGTGCTAGAAAGGATTAGAATTTTTTTTTTAAATATTCGAAAAATACTTTGGTCTTTCCTCTTAATAATAACAAACATTTAGACAATAAAAAAAATTGTTTAATCAAGTTTGGGGCCTTTTTTCGTCAAGGTATGCTCTTTTTACCGAATTATGGAACATACCTAAATTTGACTGGTACTATTAGTGTGCTGCCCTGGAAAACATGCTAAAAAACACGCTGCTTTAGACAGCCAGTGTAAACTCGAATTCACAAAACACGGACGAATTTCATTGGAAAACGAAAGATTTTATTCTGTGAATCAGGTAAAAAATCTGAAAAAAAAAACCGAGTCCACTGCGACGAAAGGGACAAAGAGGAAAGGGAAGACAAGAGACAGAGAAGGAAACAAGTGAGAACAAAGAAAGAAAAAAAGTAAGCTAACTACTACTACAAGCAGCCACAAGAGAGACGGTGGCTAAGGACAGCGAAACACGTGTCGTATTTATGTTAAATATGACGGCAACAAATTCGGAAAGGCCGCTGAGCGTTGAGAGCTAGAAAGAGGCAATTCACAATGGTAGACATGGTAAAGGAGCATGCCTGAACGACAGAGCAAAGTCTGCATAGAAAGGTCCTAAATTCCTTCTAAATATCAAATAATTCTGGGCTCGAAAGTACAAGCTTGTTGAATGAGCATCCCAGAAATAAAGTCAAAAAACTAATTGTAGCGCTACAACAATACATTTTCAATACAAAAGGCGAGTAAAGGGAAAAAGAAGAATCAAATAAAACATACCAAAGTTATAAGGAAAGGCAAAGCGGTGAGCAAGGGTGCGTGCATGCAGGTACCGAACCAAGAAGAACTCTGAAGATCCCGCCAAAAGAAAACGCAATTCACGTGACTTATCACGTTGCCGAGAGTAGATAATAACGGTAAAGCGTGATAAAAAAGGGAATTAAAGCTAATGAAGCACAGTCTATGCTAGAAAACGCAAAGAAAGAGGGGAAAAGATAAAAAAAATAAAAAATAAGACAGTAACATGAAAAGGAAGTCGCAGCGAGACGAGAGGAAAAAAAGTAAACAAACAAAAAAAAAAAAAAAAAAACGGTGTATAGTGAAATTGTCCCTAAGGACGGAAGGTCGACGTTATAAACGTGACACTCCCCGCCTGAGATTGTGAAATCTCAAAAGGTTCGGGTGAAAGTTTCTTGTTTAAGTTTGTTTTACATTTGTGTTTGTAAGTTTGATGGGCATGCATCTGGCAGGGATAGTGGGTTTGACAGGGTAAATTGCGGGAGAAAAAGAAGATAAGGAAAAGAGTAGTAACAGTCCTGTGAAAAAATTAAATCAAGGAGAGTGGAGAGCAAAGAGACAAGGAAAGTGGTTATACGGATGGGATAAAAGAGGAGGAAGAAGGTACATTTTAACAGATAGGTTCAGATGGAAGAGGGGGGAGGAGAAGTACTGTCTCTGTTACAGGTCTCAAGAACAATTTTGCACGGTCATTTTTGTGAATTTTCACTTCGACCTGTCGCACCCTTCCATCTTAGCTAGGAATGACACGGGTAATCAGTCCCAAGGGCCATTCGTTTCTCTTTGAATCCTGGTCTTTCAAAAGAACCACGCTGCCAGATTTCAGGTTTGGAATGCCGAAGTCCATTTGCTTCGGGCCTGCAAAAGCGGGAGGTACTGGCCCCTCCACCGGTTCCAAAACGTCTGCGCAAGATGTTGAACATGCCTCCATTGTTGTCTAGAAACATTCTTTGTGGTGAAGTCACCTGTCGGTGCAGGAGCAGAGCCAATCTTTTGGGTGAGGAGTGTTGAAGGTGTCAGCAGAACTGAGTCTGTGGATACCGGGACAAGTGGTCTGTTATTAACAATGGCAGCCACCTCAGCCAGAAATGTGGTGAGCACTTCATGGGTTAGTTTGGTGCTTCCATGTTGCAGCAACATGAAATTGAGAATCCTCTTGTCTATACCTATCATTCTTTCCCACGCTCCGCCCATGTGTGGTGCATGCGGAGGGTTGAATAACCAGGTACAACCATAGTCGGAGAGGTGTTTACTCACCGCACTTGCGTCTAGGGTGGAATTGATTCCGAGTTTATTTCTTACTCCGACAAAATTGGAGCCTTGGTCCAGACGGATAAGTTTTGCAGGACCCCGGATGGAAAAGAAGCGCCTGAGAGCATTTATTTATTGTATCGAGTGACTCCAAGACCTCGATGTGAACTGCTCTTGTGGTCATGTATGTATATATGGTGGCCCACCGCTTGCTGTGGACCAAGCCCCCTCTGGTTCGACGTGAAGTAATGGGCCAAGGCCCAAAAACATCGAGCCCCACATTTGTGAAGGGAGGTTCCATGGATAGGCGATCTTCTGGTAGGTCTGCCATCTTTTGGATCTGCATAGGTCCACGGAGCTTTCTGCAAATTGTAGTGAATGGTTTTGAGGATACTTCTCTTTCCACCAACAATCCAGAAGCCAGCAGCACGGACTGCGCCCTCTGTGAAGTGACGTCCCTGGTGATGTACCTGCTTGTGGTGGTGCCTAACGAGCAGGGACGTTATATGGTGCTTGCCAGATAAGATAAAAGGGTGCATCTCGTTATGGTCTAGTCCTGCTCTTTGTGTGCGACCTCCGATTCTGAGGAGACCTTGGTCGTCCACGAAGGGATCTAATTTCCTGAGTGCACTGCTCTTGGGAAGATCCCTATGCTCTGATAAGAAAGAGAGTTCCAAAGCGTACGTGTCTCTTTGCGCTGACCGGAGGATCACGTTGTTAAAATGCGCCAGTGTTTCTACCAGAAATGGTGCTCGACAGTAATGTCAGCCCTTGCAGTCCTTCGGTCTAGTCTCTTTCTTAAACGACTGAGAGATGTGGATCAAACGAGCGATTGCCCGTGTCACTACCGGACGGATTTCGACGTCGTTTTCAGGATTGATAAGGCAGTAGGAGTTGGATTCGAAACGGTTGAACAAGGAGTTGGAGATGAAAGAGGGACTGTTGAGCCAGGCTGTAGTAGACATTTGGATGGAAGGAATTGATCTGGTTCCACAGTCAGCTGGGTTTTTATCCGTGGGTACGTAATGCCACTGTTCAGGCTGAGATGATCGACGGATGCGCAGAACTCGATTGCTGACATAGACGTAAAAGCGGCGATGTTCATTTCCTATATAGCCAAGAACGACCTTGCTATCAGTGAAAAAAATGGTAGAGTTCACTTGCATATCAAGCTCTGAGACAATCATATCTGCCAATTCAACCGCCAGGACGGCAGCACAGAGTTCCAGTCTGGGCACAGAGGTCTCAGGTTGCGGTGCCAATTTCGTTTTCCCCATGATGAAACCCACCTCACAAGTACCATCAAGATAGGTGACTCTGAGGTAGGCTACTGTAGCAATTGCCTTAGTCGACGCGTCCTAGAAGACACACAACTACCTGGAAGATGCTGCAGTGGATGACTTAGTGATGTAAGTCCTTGGTATCTGGAGGTTGTGGAGTTCCTGAAGGGAATCGCGCCATGCAGTCCAAAGTTGCTCCTTCTGAGGAGGTAAAGGAGTATCCCAATCAAACTTATCGGATGTGAGTTCCAGTAAAATGAACATGCCTTGGATGGTAACTGGAGCCACGAACCCAAGAGGGTCATAGAGGCTGTTGATTGTTGACAAGACGCCTCTGCGTGTATAAGGCAGGGTTCATCTGCAACTCGAAAGGTGAAGCAGTCACTATCTGGGTCCCAATCAAGTCCCAGGCTACGTTGTATCGGTACAGCCTCTTCATTGAGGTCCAGATCTTTGATGTCACTGGCGAGATCTCCTGTAGGGAAAGCGTCCAGAACCTCCTTTTTATTGGAGGCTATTTTATGCAGTCTCAAGTTGGATGCTGCCAGAACATTTCAGGTTTCCTTCAGCAAGGAGATGGCCTCTTCTACAGTAGGCACTGACTTTAGTCCATCGTCCACATAAAAGTCACGGTGGACGTACTGAACAACAGCAGAGCAGGGCTGCACTCCGGGTGTGTCCCGCCGACAGATTTCCTGAGACAGTAAGTTGCCACTGCCGGTGATGGACTGTTGCCGAATACGTGGACTTTCATCCTATATTCGACTATTTCCTTATCAGGGTCATTGTCTTTATACCACAGGAATCGCAGAAAGTCTCTGTGCTCTCTTTTCACGAGAAAACAGTAAAACATTTGCTCGACATCAGCCATGATTGCCACGGGCTCCCTTCGGAAACGGATCAGAACTCCTATCAAGTTGTTGTTTAGATCTGGCCCGGTTAATAGGGCGTTATTCAATGATACTCCATTATATTGGGCACTGGAGTCAAAGACAACTCTGATTTTGTTTGTTTTTTTTGGGTGGTAAATGCCGAACATAGGCAAGTACCATTTCTTTTCTTCCTTTTTGAGTGGAGGGGCCACTTCTGCCCGAGCATTAGCGAAGATTTTTTCCATGAAGGAGAAGTCCTGTGCCAAACGCGGCTTCCTCCTGAATTGGCGAGTCAGTGAGTTGAGTCGACTGACTGCTTGTTGTCGGTTGTTAGGAAGTCGAAGTCTGGATGGCTTGAGTGGAAGAGGCGCTACCCAGCTGCAGTGACTATTCTTCCTCACGCCTTTTTCCATGATATCGATGAAGATTCTGTCTTCTATGGAGTAGGCCAGTCGGTCGTCCTCCTTAGTCAGTTGAAACACGGAGCTACCCAATTCTTTCTGGCAGTATCTTTCCTTGGCCCAGAATGTGTTGGGACAAGGCCCAAAGTTTGTAGGGCGGCTTCCTTCTCGGGTGCTGGTGAAGAAGGTGTCTACAGTGGTTGGTTTATGCGTTCCCCCAAGGCATACATTCCCCACTATCACCCAGCCCATGTCTAGTTTCTGATCATAAGGTGCGCTGTGAGGACCATTGATCTGGGCGTGAACCTTATGTACGTCGATAATGTCACGACACAGGAGTAGCAAAATAGGGGCCTCCTGGTCCAAGTTGGGAATCTCCGTTGCTATGCTAGCCAAATGCTTGTGATGAAGGGCTGCTTCTGGTGTTGGGATTTCCGAGCGATTATCCGGCACATCAGCGCACTCAATTAATGTTGGAAGGGGCAGGCTGGTGCGTCCATCTATGGATTCAATTCTGTACCCATAGGCTCTTCTCCCAACCATTTCTATGATTCCAGCGCAGGTCCTAAGTGAATAAGAAGATGTGGGGCCGCAGTCACTGAACAACTCAAAGAACTCTGGACGAGCAAGTGACTTGTTGCTATGTTCGTCGATCACGGCATACATCCTGACTGCCTTGCTTCTCTGGCCTTAGGGATGTACCTTCACCAGGCAAATTTTCGAACAGGATTTGTCGATTAGGTTACTACCACAAACCTGTGTGCAATGGGCTGTAACATCGTTGTTCTCCCCGCCATGATTTGACATGGCTCTGATGGGTGTCGTTTGTGGTACAGGTCCAGGGTGAAGAGCAGTGTTGTGGCTATCACTGCCACATTCAGCATATTTAGGCTTGAACCTGCAGTCCTTGTTGACATGGGTAGAACAACATCGGAAACAGATGTCGTGTTGTCTCAGATAGGCTTGCCTCTGCGGAAAAGGTTTACTTCTAAATGCCCGGCAACTGCGAAGAGGGAGAGGCAGGTTATGGATGGGGAATATCTCTTTGATGTCCTTAGACGCAATTTGAGTCTTGTGGACTGAAATTTCTTTTCGATGTGGTGTGGTTGCTCGGTCCATGTTTTGTGAGGGTCAAGTATCTGTGGTAAGACGAAAGCTGGGGTCGTCCCTCTGCTTGTTGTTCGATGAATTTAGTAAGCACAGAGAATGGGGGGAATGGCACTTGATGTTTTCGCTTGTATGCAGTGCCATGGGAGGTCCATTGGTCCCGTAGTGTAGGTGGAAGCTTCTCCACTATAGGCCTGAGACCCCGAGCAGTGTCCAGGAGGCCAAGACCAGGGAGATCACCATCATCTTTAGCTGCTTTTTTCGGTGAGGAGGTCGCTTAGCTCCCTCAGTCGGTCGTAGTCCTGGTTACCTTTGGAAACCAATGGATCCTTTCGAAGAGTGAGACTTCGATGGCTTCAGGGGACCCGTAGCATTTTTTCAAACGCTTCCATATTTCCTGCAGGCCCTTCTCAGGATAGTTAAGGTAGGCTGTCCTTAAACGGTTGGCATACTCAGTGGAGGCAGGGCCGAGCCATTTCACAAGCAAATCCATTTCTTCACTCGCAGGTCGACAATGGAGTTGCGAAATGAACGTTTCCATGCTTGATAGTCCTTAGGTCTGTCCGAGAATTTCAACATACTGGCTTGAAGTAATTCTCGCCGGGCGAAGTAACGCGTTAGGTCACTGGAATGGTCATGGCGGTTTTCAGTTGAGTACCTCCTCCTCCGATCATCAGATGGATCGGTCTTGGGATCGGGGAAGTAGTAGAAGGAGGCTTCGGAGTTGGTGGGCTGATCGAATTGGGATGCAGAAGAGCGTATGTGTTGCAGGGCGGATGATTGTACCAATTGCGGAGCGGCAGGTTGTGAGATGAGTTGAGCCGTCTGTTCGGCCACATATTCTCTCGTGCGCTGCATGGGATCGGCAGGAGTCTGGTCAAGGTGAATGCTGGATTTTCCCTCACTAAGCGAGACATACTCTTCAAAGGCCTTTAGTGCGGCTTCTTTGAGAGCTATCTCCCTTTGGGCGTCTACAGTTTTCTCTTCAGACTCCATTTTAGCCTTTGCTTCGCGCAGTTTATTCTCTCTCTCCACGAAGAGCAGGCCCGCTTTAGCCATCTCCAGTTCAGCACGGACAGCCAAGGCCTTAGATGAGGCAGAAGAGAACCTGGAGCGCGTTCTATTAGAGACAACGGACTTTTGCTCCATGGCGTTTGTTGAAGCGTGTTGGGACCTGTTGCAGAGAAGGGTAGAAAAAGAGTACCGGTGCGTGACGGGTCGTTGAAAAGCTGTCAAATTAGTTTTACGCTGGCGGCAGTCCAGTAGAGAAATCTGCAAGGAGCCATGGGAGAGGAAGCTGGTCGCACTGCATTACGGAAGACCTCGCGCCACGTGCGAATAAACTTTGATTTTTTACTGTGCTGCCCTGGAAAACATGCAAAAAAACACGCTGCTTTAGACAGCCAGTGTAAACTCGAATTCACAAAACACGGACGAATTTCATTGGAAAACGAAAGATTTTATTCTGTGAATCAGGTAAAAAATCTGAAAAAAAAAACCGAGTCCACTGCGACGAAAGGGACAAAGAGGAAAGGGAAGACAAGAGACAGAGAAGGAAACAAGTGAGAACAAAGAAAGAAAAAAGTAAGCTAACTACTACTACAAGCAGCCACAAGAGAGACGGTGGCTAAGGACAGCGAAACACGTGTCGTATTTATGTTAAATATGACGGCAACAAATTCGGAAAGGCCGCTGAGCGTTGAGAGCCAGAAAGAGGCAATTCACAATGGTAGACATGGTAAAGGAGCATGCCTGAACGACAGAGCAAAGTCTGCATAGAAAGGTCCTAAATTCCTTCTAAATATCAAATAATTCTGGGCTCGAAAGTACAAGCTTGTTGAATGAGCATCCCAGAAATAAAGTCAAAAAACTAATTGTAGCGCTACAACAATACATTTTCAATACAAAAGGCGAGTAAAGGGAAAAAGAAGAATCAAATAAAACATACCAAAGTTATAAGGAAAGGCAAAGCGGTGAGCAAGGGTGCGTGCATGCAGGTACCGAACCAAGAAGAACTCTGAAGATCCCGCCAAAAGAAAACGCAATTCACGTGACTTATCACGTTGCCGAGAGTAGATAATAACGGTAAAGCGTGATAAAAAAGGGAATTAAAGCTAATGAAGCACAGTCTATGCTAGAAAACGCAAAGAAAGAGGGGAAAAGATAAAAAAAATAAAAAATAAGACAGTAACATGAAAAGGAAGTCGCAGCGAGTCGAGAGGAAAAAAAGTAAACAAACAAAAAAAAAAAAAAAAAACGGTGTATAGTGAAATTGTCCCTAAGGACGGAAGGTCGACGTAATAAACGTGACAATTAGTAGGCTAGTTTTGTCAGGTGAATTGAATATAAATGTAGAAAAGATGTTTTTGACTCTGAGGTCTATATAAGTTTGTAAAATCGAAATGGTGACTTTACCTGGTTTATTATTCTTTTCAGTTACAAGTAAGAACAGATTGTATTCATTTTTTTTCATTTCTTCCATGCAGCAGGCAGATTTTTTTTTATTGAAGGTGAGCAGGTTTGGTGGTAGTAAAATTTCCATTTTTTTAATTACTTAATTAATGCTGCTTTCTTGATTCAAGGATTTCTAACACAGTTGCTTCTGACATGAAGACCACTTCTGATACCATAATGGGTATATTGGTTTCTGCTTAACAACGAATTATTGAACAAGAAAAGACAAACACGTGTGCAACTTAAGAAAAACTTCTTTCTCTAAATTCAAAGGTGTGTATCCAGGGACCCTATGACACCATAGAAAGTAGTGTGATCTGAGTGACTTCCGAGAGGAAGACTGGAGAAGTCTCCTAACTACCTCAATCTATGGTGAAAAGAACAAAAAGAGAAAAAAGAGAGTTTAATATCCTTTCCTTTTATAGTCATGAAACAGCACCGTTGAGTGATATCCTAGCAGACAAGGTGAGGTTAATCCCCACAATAATCTTTTTAAATCATTTCACACGAACTAATGCAGTAATGTCACTAAGATACAAGGAGGTTACTGAATGTGAAAAAATATGAGAAAAAGAAAGATTATTAAGGAGAGAGAACAATAAAAAAAAACAAGAATTAAGAAAACACAAGATAACGACTGACATTACATTTACATTTTTTAAAATCAAAGTTGTCTAGGAAGTAAGAAGCCAGTAAAGAGTTCTACAAGTAAGAAATGCAAGAAATGGAATTGTTAGCATAGAACTTACAGTTACATCTAGCAATTTCAACTGTAAAATGACGAGACATAGCTGACAAATACTGGGCTTACATTTGTAAAGTCAATGTACTAAGCTCATCAGAATAATTACCATGAAAATATTTTCGAAATATGTTACGGACCAATTGTCGCAACACAAAATTTAAAAAGAAAAGATAAAAAAACAACTTGTTGCCAAAGGATATGACCAAAGTTTACCACTCTATAGTGGAAGGATTCCCTTACAGCATCAGATACACGGGTGAGGAGACACATCCAACAGTAACGAACAACAAACGTCAATATCTAATTTAATCAGACTTAATTATATCAAGATGATACAGAAAAACATTAATGTAAAATAGTGCTTGAAAAGATGTTTGCCATACATTTCTGTGTGGAAAAATGTATACAATATATATCTGATATGAACAGTTAAAGAACAGTTAGCTTTAGTTGTTCGCTTAGAATGAAATAGGGTTTTCTCTTTTCCATTTTCTCTATCTTTCTTTTGTTTTATATTTCTTTTTACTTTCAGTTCATTTTGTTTCGCCCGTGCAGCGATATCTTTTGATATATTATTCTTTTTTCACTGTTATGAGTTTTGGCCCTCAAGTATTGGTCGTTTACTCTCTTCCAAACATATTCAGCATTGTAGAATTCATCATTCGGGTAAGAAGATTCGGTGCTGTATAAGTTATAGCCTGCGTCCAACTGAGTGGGTTATACATGCCTGTCTTAGGTGATTATCACGCTTAGTAATTCACCTATATACACAGCATAGTGAGTTGAATTGAGTTGAACTGGAACTCGCATTGTGGGATTTTCTTTGCTTGACGATAACAAGTAAAAAGAGATGTTAACGCTCAAGGTCCGTGTTCCAACTAATACCTTCCGCTGAATGTTTCGTACTTGATCACTTGATTCTGCATGTGTGTGCGAAGCTATTTTTAGATCTCTCTTGGACCTGTTACTAAGATCATCAGCCTGCCTGACCTAATTGTTCTTGTAGTCAGCGACTACTATGACAGATAGAAAAAGGGTGAGTGATATATTATAGAGATGTGGAAAGAGAGATGGTCCGCTAAGTGTAAAATGTGTGTGGTTAGGGATTTTAGCTGCGAAAGGATGTAACATGTCACAGGGAAAACGAGTTAGTGGAAAGTGACTGAAAATGTGATGCCAGATCAGTACCGATAATATTGCAGATTCTTCTTTGGATTTTGTCAAGAATATCTAAATACAGAGTAAATGCGACAGATCATATGAAACAACAATATTCAATGCTTGGATGAATGGTCGACTTATAAATGTGTACAATAAATTCTATGGGGAAAATGTTTAGCACGACACAGTCAATCAAATTTCTTAGCAGTAGACCTAGTAATTGATTCAGTACACTCTGTCCATTTCATGCCAGTGGAAATCATTAGTGATGGCAGTGGTAGATCGGAGAGAAAGGAAGCCATATTGTTTGTCAGAGAGTAGGTCGCGTAAGATGCTTAGCCACTTCAGCAAAGATTATATCCTCGAATACTTTGCTGAAAAAGCGGTAGGAGACGACTAATAGGACGATAGTTAGTGAGGTCAGAAGGTTCTCCAGAGTTCTTAAAAACAGGAACTACAGAGGAGGACTTCCAAGAAGTTGGAAAGCAGGAAGCAGCGAAGCAATAGTTGTAGGGTTGGGAGAGAACTGGTGCCAGTTTGGGAGCACATTTCTTTAGGACGACGGCTGGGATCTCGTCACCTCTGTTAGACTTATGGGAATCTAATTTAGAAGTGATTTCTGAGACCAGTGACAGGGTTATGCACATATCACTCAGTAGAATCTCTGTTCTAAGGGGAAATCAGGTGTCGGTACTCCAAACAAATGAAGTGTTGAATTGGAAGAGAATTTCAAAGCAATGCATTCAGCCTTATCTGCTGTAGATGTCAGGACTTCGAACTGATTGAATAGAGGAGGGATTGGGGAGTTTACTGTTGTTCAGCACACTCTTGCAGAGCCGCCAGTAATCTCTAGAAATGAACTTGCGAGATGCTATACGATGTTTTATTCTATCAACAAATAGTAACTTTGCTTCATTGAAGACACGCTTGCACTCATTACGCGCAAAGACAAAGAGACGCCTGTTGCAATCAGACATGTTGCTCTGGTATGATCAGAAAAAGTGATTCCTGTGCATGCAAGTGAGAACCAAAGAGATTAATACGGTTTAACGAGAACAGCAACCAGAAAACTACCAATCCGGTACCCTCACGATGCCACCATCCACGCATATCACAAAGAATTCATGATAGCCCCAGTATTAAGGCTTGAGAAAAGGAAAGAAACCGGGAACCCCTGCCTAAACAGGAAACAAAGAACAAGCCTCTTGAAGAGTCGAGATCGGCCCACAGATGCCCCAGTACAAACATGTATACATACTTGTGCACCGGGGAGTAAAAATAAATAAATAAATAAATAAAATAAAATGATTAAGTTCTTAGTATAAGTCCAAATACTAACTCTTTCAAACTGCACTCATAATCCCCAGCCAGTCACCGCCAAAAAGGAAAACTTCATTAAATGCTGCGACCCCAATCAATTAACATTACGTTAACAAACACGTTATCAGTACGGACATAAATATCAACAAAAGGAATTATTTCGTTATATTATTGCAAAAACAGAGGAACTTTTAAGAAGGATGAAATGGAAAGCGTACTTTTTTCGTCGACAAAATAACTCATTAAACGAACCTGAAGTATACGGTTTCTGCAGTAAAAAAAAAATAGCACCGTTTATTGAAGGGTTCTTTGAATTTGAAAAAGATTTACTTGAAATTTTAAGCAATGTCTTCTAAAAAATGAAATGCTACTTCCAAAAGTATCTGGACAAAATACTAAAGGACATAAATAAAACAGATAAGGCATTAGTAAAATCTGATAAGACTGGAAATTTTTATAAATTAGTAGCAAATGACTACAACAACCTCATTAAAAAAATTAACTATAAAAAGGGTAATAAAAGTAATATTAACATGGTAGAAACATTAACTTTAGTAGTAAAAACATTGCAGATAAATTGAATATTAGTGATAAGGTAGGTAAAATAACCGAGAAAATTGCTATATCACTATAAAGGATCATAAACTCGGGTAATAAAAGTAATATTAACATGGTAGAAACATTAACTTTAGTAGTAAAAACATTGCAGATAAATTGAATATTAGTGATAAGGTAGGTAAAATAACCGAGAAAATTGCTATATCACTATAAAGGATCATAAACTCGATTTTGAAGCTAATCCAACTACAAGAATTATCAACCCAACCCGACCTAGAATCAGAAAAATAAGTAAAAAAAAAAAAATCCTGGAAAGGGTTAACCAACAAATAAAGGAATACCTGGGATTAAAACTATGGATCAATACCAAAGAGTATACAAATTGGTTTACCAATATTAAGGATAAAACAAATTGTACCCTAATACAGTTTGATATTGAACAATACTACCCATATCAGGGGAAATTTTCACGACTGCTCTGGATTTTGTTACCCAGTACTCTGACCTAATAGATGAGAAAAAAAACATAATTATGAATGGGGAAAAATTGGTAATCATTCATAATGGCGACCAGTGGGTTAAAACACTGATGACCATTTTGACATCACAATGGGATCATTGGACTCTGCAGAGTCTTCTGACCTTATTGGTCTTTTTATATTACATAATATAACAGCATATCGTGAAATTAGTATTAAAGATGTCGGATTGTATAGAGATGATGGACTTATGGATATAAGAAAGTCAACTAACTT